GCTTTCTACTCCCGTAAGGATTTACACCCTTGGAAACCCTATACAGGGTCGCTATGGGTCGGAAGCGACTCGAAGGCACTTAACAACAACAACAACATAGCCAGTTTCAGAAAAGGGCCAAAGATGCAATGTGAGGGGAAAAAGTCTGGATGTTTTTCTTCTGTTTAGGAAAATTTGTGGGTATTTTGGCCCTGAGAGTTTAAATCATTGAAAATCAAAGCTTTCAACAACAACAAAAAGGTAAAATATTATGATAGAATCAGGAAGGAAGATATAATAGATTAAGAGAAATATCTTCTTAATTTATATATGTATATTTTAATAGCATAAAATATTACCCTTTGGCTTGTATTTTTTAAATTGGAAATAAGTTCATATTGAATACAACGATGTCATAAACCCAAAAGTATGTCCAAAGTCCTCACAGCTACCATTATATATATAACAAGGGTATAATTGAAGAGGTGGTTATAATATTACTTAAAAACTGATACTCTTCTTCATCAGACTTTTTGCTCACTGACATCCTATTGTAAAAATTAACTATGTTTTAACAGGCATGCTTTTCTCTGAAATTTGTTAGCAATGAACAAATACTTATTTTCATAATGTACTAGCCATTGTGTGCTTCCTATTATTAAATTTACTAACAGATATTTTAATTTTATTACTTCCAACCAGATATTTACATTTTAATCTGCATTGATTTGATTTTATCAACTTTCAAACTGAGTTCTGATGATTGCAGGTTTTCTCTTTTGCTTTGTTTTTTGAAGATTTTTATAAAACTGAATATTACTATGTTGGGAGGAGAGAGTTTCTATTCTAAGTACTTCCTTGATAATAATTGTTGTTGTTGTTAGGTGCCGTCGAGTTGGTATCAACCCATAGCGACCTTATACACAGCAGAACGAAACACTGCCCAATCCTGGGCCAACCTCACTACAGTTGCCACGCTTGAGTCCATCAATTCTGCCACTTGGCCAATCCATCTCATTTGGGGTCTTCCTCTTTTTCTCGGACCCTCCACCTT